AAATATGCAGGAAATTTTTGTTGTGTTCTCACGAATAGCAAATAGAAGATAGCCTCTTAAAGAAAAGAATCATTGCTTGACTATATAAAATTACCTGTGGTGTGTTGCCCAGAGTCCCTTTTATGTCTCACTTAGGTTTTCAACAATGGTGTATATTCACAATGGTTTCATTCAGTTATCTGTAACAGCTGGAAATCCTCTCCATTCATGTCAAATGTTGGGGGGGCGGGCAGAAAACAAGAACAGTTTAATGTTCTGACTAAAGCCTCTAAACAGTTCATGCCCATTCATTTAGCACAAAATCAGAAGAACTACATGATCTGATTTACTCTAACCAAGCCACATGTTGTTCTTATATATCGGGTTTTTGTTGGTTTGTTTAAATACTTCTCTTCCCTCATTGAATGGTCTGTAATAAATCCTAGTTAGACACTGACATCCATTGATAGGGAGAGGCCACATCAAGTATAAACATCCTGCCTAAAATTTTGTTTCCTTTGGTTTGTATTTTCCTAATTACTAATATCTCCAGAATTAACAGACCAGCACTGGATACAAAGTATGATGTCAAAGCTGAGTATGTATTGCTATTATGCTCCAGAATTTCCTAGTTAGTAAAGTTGGACACAATAGAAAGGCACAAGCCCCCTCGAATAGAAACCTTTTGTCCTTTTCTTTGGACCTTTCTGCTCCTCTCTGCTGTGTTCCTTCAGTTCCTGCATTGTGGTATTTTCAGTCTCATTCTCTTGATTTTCCTATCAGGTGGCCTTTTCATTTTATAAATTCCTGAATAGCCTATGTAGAAAGCCAGTAGTACAAATCTGTACCAAAACAATTACCAATATGAATTACAAGCAGTTCAGATGTTTCCATTGCAGTTTGTGAGTAATCAGGTTCTAAGTGATAAATAGCTACTTTGAATGTTATTTAAAAATATTATTTTTTGTTTGAAATGTCACTCATTCTTTTACATTTTTTAAATAAAGAACGTTGGAAATACGTATTTTCAGTTATAAAAACTTACTGAAAATGAGTATATTGGATATAATTGATTTAAAAAAAAAAACCCTAATCATTTTCCTTCCCATGGGAAATGTTGTTATTTCTACATTAGTCTTCAACCTGCACTGAAAGAAAAATCCAAATAACTGTTTGCAGCACAAAATTCTGATTTTTGGAATGGTCAGTGTGCTTAATTTTGGAATCTCTTTCCTGAAAAAAGTGATTTTGTTTCAGTGTGCCACACTGAAACAGGATGATTTACGTTAGATCAGTTTGAAACTAACTTGTCTGTACAAGCTACTCTGGTACCTCATGAGAGTTGAAGTTCGGGTGCCTCATGCCACATTTTCCAATATGTCCTTGGTTCCTTTACTTAACTACAACTAGGCAGAAGGTAGGGCAGGTGTCACCTTGCACACTAACTGGTTCAGAGAGGCATGAGCTTTCATAGACAACAACCTACTTTGTAGCCCCCTCTCTGCTTTAGACTTCATGATGGGGCTTCCTTCATAGCTAGACTTCATTCCACTTGTGGATTCAGCTGGCAGTACATTATGGGAGATACCTATTATTTTCTGTAAGTAATAGCAATTGCCAATCTTAGAGTGCTACTGCTCCTTAGGGCAGAGGGGCTTCTGGTAAATTGCATTTTACAAACAGTTTACGTGTGCTGTGCTGTAAAAATAATCAAAATATTATTTGAAGTGTTGGGTGGCAGAAACAGGGAAAGTTTCTCTCCCACTATTCAGGTTGTTATTGGCTAATTATCAACTTCCCACAAACTATAACATTTTCATTCAAGTTAATGTTAGTCTCCAAGCAAATTTCACCTTAGTGGATGGGAAAAAATAGATAAATTAATTTAGATGGGCTAGATTATTATATTACATAACTTTTCTGCCAAAGTGAGGAAGTGGCAGTTCCCTGTAGGAAATTAAAACAATGAACACCTAATTTCAGATGAGGAAGATCTTATCAGTTTACAGAAATGAAAGATCACATCACATCTTACCATTTTACTGTTTCGTTTAATATTTAGTTTTAATTAAAAGGGATAGAAAGTATCTAGAAGCTGATAAGTTTTATTGCCTGATGCTAAGTATACAGTTGCTTTGGTCAATATTTTTTCAAATATGTCTGATTTCTTCTATTAAATACTTAGAAACAGTGCATATTGCATTCTTTTTTGGACTGTTCCATAACATTCTTAGAAGGAGATTCTGCTGAAACATTCTTAGCTTCAGTTTTATCTTCTCTGGGGTTTTTTCATTAGCTAGAAAGTCAAATTTCTTAATATCTATTTTTTCTGTTCTTCTGTAAGTAAAATACATCCATTTTAACTTTGTTAGTTCTTTCTATGGCTTTTGATTTCCATTGATTACCCACTCCTGCCCCACCATCACCCCCAAACTGCAGGGATGATGGATGAACTCTGGGGCTAAGGACAGAAGTTGCACACAAACCAGTTTAAGTGATTGGAAACTAACTTAAATCTGTAACAGAACTTAAGTTCAGTGCACATAAACCAGTTTCAAAATGTCCAAAACTGGTTTAAGATAAACCCAGTTGAATATAGTATCAGACTTAAATGATTTGGGTCAAGCCGGTTTATGGAAGTTCTGCCCTAGACCCCTTCCTGATTTAAGTTAAATCACAGTCCCCCAGCATCCCAGCATGCCTGGGCTGTGTTGTAGTGTCTGCTGCAGAGAGCAGGGCTGGCCCCACCACTCTCCTCCCTAACCGGAGCACTATTGCTGATCCAGGTGGCTGAAAAGGGAGTGAGGGACTGCAGGCACAGCAGTGTCTGCCTGGCTTCCGCCTGTTTCATCCCCTCCCCCGCAAACCCCAGCTGCTCACTGCTCAAAAAGGTGAGCAGTGAGCAGCTCTCCTCTCCCATAGCATGGACTCTAGTCAGCATCTGGTTATGGTCACGCCACCCCTGGAACAAAGACGCACAGAACTATGTTGACTTAGGGCTTTTTGGAGTTAATCAACAGATCAGCTGGTAATGTCCCTCCATTTCTTCCTTGGAAAATTTATTTAAAAAGAGCTTGAACTAATGAGGGGGGCTTTGTTTTCTTGATGGGCTGATAAACTTTGCGTTATCAGCTCCCAGCTGGGTTGCATGCCTGTCAGTTTGCTGCAGACAGTATGAAGAAGCAGGGAGAGGGAGATTGAAAAGCTCAGTATTGTCAACAGACGCATGCATTTCACACAAGCATTCTTCCCTCCCTCCCTGCTTTGCCTCAGAGTGCTGGCTGGGGGCTGGCAACACTTCCGCCCCTTGAGCAGTGAGCCAGGAAAAGCCTGGCAAGGGCTGCTTCCCCTTCCTCCACCAGGCACACCCCAGCTGGGGACTGTGCAGGCAGGGTGAGGATTTAAACCCCTCCCTAATCAGGACATCCTGCCAGGGCATGGCCACACCCCCTTTCAGCTCAATTCTGTGGAAGGGTAGGGAGGGCTTGCTCTAGCCCCCTTCCCCCCATCTTCTAGCCTGAGCCACTGGAGGCAAGTGCCTGCATTTTCTGAATCAAAAGTGAATGTCTATCCTCTTGCAAATTAGTTCAAACTCTGCAGGGTGAACTAACTTGCAAAGATTGAATCAATTCAGGCTCAGGCTTTTTGAATGTCTGTCCCTGGCCTGCATGACTCAGATTTCCTCGCCAATACCAAACCCAGAGCATTGTCATGGACTTATTCCACTTTAAAAGCCCACTGGTGCAAGGCCATACAACATTTTCTAGTGCAACACCTTTGTATGATATCTTCGTGAAAAGGTAGTGAGGTCTGGAGAAATTAGCATAGGATTAGGCCTGAGGAGGTCCTAAATTCCAATCCTACTACTGTTAAGCTAACTCCCTATGTGGTTTTGAGAAAGTTGCTTAAACTTTCTGCTGAAATATCCACTTCTGTAGAAAAAAGATAATAGTAGAGGCTATTCCTTAATGATATCTTTAAGGAATAATGGACTAATGTTAGTACAGTGCTTGGGGTATGTCAAGCCCATGCAATTATTTTTAGAGCTAATGATAAAACAGCTCTGAAAAACTGAAGTACCAAAGAACACTATCCTTTCAAAGTTCTGGTAATGCTATTTATGATATTCAGCCATGATTATTGCAGTTTGTGCTTAGGCACAAAGCCACACATCCTGAATGAAAAAGATCTAACACGTGTAAAACTTCTGCTTAGAAAAATAGACAGCTATGAACACAGTACCCTTGTGCTGTGTGCTCCATCCAGCACTGCATGCTTGAGTTAAAAACGGGGTTCAGTTCAGGGCTATGTCCTGATTTTCAAAACCCTCTATTGAAGTGGCCCTAGCTACCTGAAAGATAGCTTCCTTCTCTGCAATCTTGATCTCACATGCTGTATTTCTTGGGAACAATTAAGTTGTCAACTAATAGAGGGAGGTCTGTGAATGCAGGAAGTAGAACTTTCACAGGAGCTGGACCTGGACTATGGCACTTGCTCCCACAACAGATAACAATGTTCTTGGAAATAAATGTTTACAAGTGTAAATGCAAAATTTTTCTTCAGTAGTTTTTTTACATTCATGGACATGTTACACTCACATAAAGACAAGGTGTCAATAAATAAACAAATAAAAAGGCACAAACCAATCAGGTTATTTTTTCTATAGGCTGGGAGCAAGATGAGCAAAAAAGATTGACATTTTATGACTCCTGTTTTTAAAAGGTTTGGGAAGCACTCATGGACTGCAGTGTTTAACAGCTATTTTTGCATTCAGCTATATTTTTTTGATAATGATATAGGAGGTTTTACATGCAAAAACAAAAGATTCTGAGACTAATACTAGAATAAACCTATCAATATAATTTGGGTTAACACTGGTGAAACTATTCAAAATCTGCCCCGCAACTGAATTTCCTAATTTTTCATGTGGTGTTTATTAAATGGTTTTAGTGCTAGTTTGAGTTTGGAGCAGTCATACCTTAAGGCTAAAAACCTTCTCTGATTGTCTCCCACATGCATAGGTGTGACCTGCTATTAGAAGGTTGGTGAGAAGAGGCCTGACTAGGAGCTACAGATGTGAGTTGCCACTAGGGCTGCTGAGCTGGGACTGGCTTCTATACCTGCTTGGGGTGGGGGTGGGGGGTGAGAGATTGGTTGGTGGGGGTGCAGAAACATGAAGTTGGGAGGCAGAGAGTTAATGGGATGGGAGTGGGTATTGAAATGGGAGATGGAAAGGAAATGAGGGTTGGGGAAGGGTGGTGAAATGAAGGAAGTCAGCCACTAAAGGATAAAATACAGGAAGTAAAAAAAGAATTTTAAAAGAAATGGAGAGGTGGAAGGGTGGGAAAGGAGTGCTCTCATTATTGACTGTGTAGCTGGCCAGTGACTGTCATTCTTTCCTGAGGTCCCTTCCAATCCCAGTGCTCTGGGGGAGGGATGGAAAAACTGCATAAAAGGCAGTGTTGTTTGAACTGCCCTGCTTTCTGCCTTGGTGTCAGTTGAGTGAGGGTGCACCTTAACACACACACAGTGTTACCCACCCATGTCATGAGTTTTGCCTGTCAGCAGCTAGAGGTGCAGGGCCCCAGAACCCAGACTTCCCCTGCACCCATCTCCTTGACAGCTGGCAGACTTCGTGGCCTCAGCAGGGGCTAGCAGACCTGCAGTTTTTACCCTGCTGCGCCTTAACACACACAGTGTCACCTATGTCAGGAATTTTGCTTGTCCACAGCTTGAGGTGCAGTTTCCCCGAAACTTGTGCACCTATCTCCTTGAAACTTGGCAGACTTCATGCCCTCAGAAGGGGCTACCATTCCTGCAAGTCTCATTCAAATCAGGCCAGAAACAACAGATTCATAGGCTGTTTCGAGCTTGCCCGTTATAACCTATGGGTGAAACAGCGAAACTGTTTCGATGAAACGAAATGGAACAGCAGTTTTGAATCGAAACAAAATTCAAAATGAAATGCTGTTCCATTGAAACAGAAGAGTGTCCTTTCACACAGCCCTAATATTTTGGTGTTTGATTTTGTTTTATCATAGCTCCCCCTGTCCCCTTCACTCACCAGGATGCGGGTCCAGCTATGGCCATTCCCACAGCTCCTTTGTGTCGCTAAGCAGCACTGATATGCCAGTGCCCATCATGCCCAACCCAGAGCCCCCCAGCCCTGCCCGCAGTCCTTGCCTGTCCCCCTCTTGCTCCCTCCTGGCAGCATCTCCCCCTTGCCCCCCTGCACCAGGCCACAGGTCTAGCTGCAGCTTTCCTGCCTGCTGCTGTGTGGCTCTGAGCAGTGCAGGCCCCTGATGTCCTGCTCCCTGCACCTGTGCCCAGGCCCCCATGGTCCCCATGCCCTTCCTGGGAAACCTTTGACTAAGACTCAGGGACTGGGCTGGGCCTGCCTCTGGCTGAGCAAGATCCTTCCCTTCCAGGCCAGCCTTCCCCTGCACAGGCTACTTTAGTGGGCCAGGGGGCTCCTGGCCAGCTCTGGAGGCTGCCTCTACCATCTCTTTCTCTCTTGCATACACCACCTGCTCCTGCCATCCCCCACCTCATCACACACGCACACATACACACACACACTGCTGCCACCTCTACCTCTCCCCCATGGCCCATTTCAAAATCTCTGAGTGGTTTCTGAGACTAGAAGCTCCCCTATGACCAGCAAGGCTGTCAAGGCCCTTGGCCGGGCAGGACACAATGCAGGCTAGCCATGGTGCTCCTCTCCCCTCCCCGTGCCCTGCCACACAGTGTACCCCCAGCCATCACCTCCAGTGCTAGCCCCAGCTGAGCAGCCAGCAGCTGCCTCGGGCTGGAGGGATGTAGTGTGGCAGTGTGGTGATCTGCAGGGCAGCAGCCACTGGCATAGCAAATGTTCAATGCTTACCCCCAGTGCCTCGGCCCCAGCCCAGGGCACCACTCCAGCTGGACAGTGCCTCCAGCCCCCAGCTCTGCCTCAAGGGCACCTGGCCTGGCAGGCAGGGGTGTGCACATGCTCCCTTCCCCTCTTCTGCACTGAGCTTCTGCCCCAGCTGGGCACCACCCCTAGCCCAAGCTCCAGCCCAACTGGGATGAGCTACAGTGGGACAAGGCAGCCCACACCTGTCCTGGCCTCAGCCTGTGGTGCAGGACAGGGTGATTGGCACCCACACACCCCTGCCCTGCCCCTTCCCTGCCCTGCCGGTTCTCTCCACAGGCTCCAGCCCTGTTGGCATCATGACCCTCACCCGACCCACAGGGCCCCCACTCCAGTCCTGCTGGAGGGGGGTCCCAGCTGTCTTCCACCCCCAGGGCTCAGCCCCCTAAAGCCCTACTTACCCCAAAGGCTGCAGGAGGGAAAGTGAGTCTGAGCCAGCCCTGGCTCACTCAGATTCCCAGGCCCAGCCCCTGCCCCTGCCCCCACCCCCGCCCCCTCGGGACTGGGCTTAGGGTTTCCGGCCCTTCTGCAAGTAGCTTTTGCAGACTGGAACTCTGCCAGCCTGCAGACAGCTGTTTGCAAAAGGGGAAACCTGTGTTTTCCCACTTCAAAGGGAAAAATCTGCGGTTTTCTCTTTTAAAGGGGGAAATCCATGTTTTTCCACAGGAGAAAGAAAACCTGGATCCAGGATTTTTCATGCACCTGTAAAAAATGGAAAATAAAGTATTAGGAGAAGTTGTTAGAGGTAAAATGGTGTAGCTGTGGTGGTTCAGGAATTACACAAAAGGTAAGGATTTTTGTGGGTGATATCTCTTATTGTAGCAACTGCATGTTTGGGATAGAAACCTGAGGAAAGGTACTGCAGCACCCAAAAGTTCATTTAAATTTATCCCAATCATGCAGTTGATGCAATGAAAATATGACAAACAGATCTTTTGCTTGAGCAGCTAGTACATGTGCTTTGTGAGATTTTTCCATTTTTACCCCAGTATAACTAGAAACATATAGAAATATAATTGAGCCCTCTCATCCCCAGTATAATCTTTCATCCAAATGGATTCTGTAAGTTTATAAAACTGTAATTTATAAGGACTAAGTCATTTATAAAACCAAACTGTCCCTGCATTATAGTGACTCACTAAGCCTTTACTTTTAGGTTTGGGTCTTGATCCTTTACATGGCCATGCATTTTATTTTCAGACCACAGTGTTTGAGAGTGCACATAGAAATAGAAATGGTTAAATAAAAAAATTAAGATCAGAGGAGCAAGAACAACATGCCTCTTGGTAAAGGAGAAAAGGTGAAACCTCATCAAAGCTAAATAAAGAAGTTTAATGAATAAATGCCTTTTTTGAGCAAATACCAGTTTTAATCCTATTCATATCTCAGAGGTCAAGTACAAATCCTCTGATCAATTTAGTTTCTAATCAAAACAAAATTTCCTGGAGTTGGAGGGGTTGGGGAGAGAACAGATGAATGAAAAAATATTGCTCCACTTAGATATAAGGACATTTGAAAGGGGCAGAACTTGGTTTGTAACAGGTTCCTCAATGAAACAGAGTTGTGTTCTGACTGAGGGTATAAATAGATGTCACCAGATAAAGTAGATCAGCTGTCCTGAGAGGTGTTGGAGAACAGTTGATCTGCTTCTTTGGGTGGAACACACGTCACCCATTGTGCCACCTGTTGATTCTGTGGGACAAGAGGTAATGTGTTTCCTGCTTTGGTTACTGTGATCAGCCCTGGGAATTTCCAGGAATGTTTCTGTAAGCAGGGAAAGCTAGCTCTGGTGTGGTCCCAGTTGATTGGTGGTCCCAGCCTCAGGACCACCCCAGAGTGTCAATGCATGCCCAGGGAATCCCAAATGTGGGGACAAAAATGTGCCTCTGGGAATTCCAGGGGTGCATAAGATTGGGTCCCTGAAGCCCCAGG